GCAGTGGAGGCCCCATCCCTGGAAGCATTCAAGGCCAGGTTGGACAGGGCTCTGAGCAACCTGATCTAGTTAGCGGTGTCCCTGCTCACTGCAGGGGGGTTGGACTAGATGACCTCTAGGGGTCCCTTCCAACCCAAAACATTCTATGATTCTATGATTCTCTGGCAACAGCAGAACTTGGGGACTCATCTCTTCCAACCCCTTTGCCTTCCTGGCTCTTCCCCTTAGGGGGACTGGGAGCTGCTCTTGCTCAGTTGCGAGCTTTCATGGTTAGGGAAGCAAAACTATTTTTTTTTAGAATCTGGCTTGTTCTTGACTACTTAGCATTTAAACTTAATTTGATTATATTTTATATATGTGTTAGTAGTTTGTCACTTAATTAGCAAGAGAAACACAGTAGCAAGAGACAGTGTGAGCAGTCACTTGGTGAAGAAATTAAAGGCACATTTGCTGCAGGTGATACGGACAAAATTATGCAAGCGGTAAAGCTTTTTGAAGTGATTCCCTTGTTTCTCCCCCTCAGCAGCGCTCAGACTAGGAAGACAAGGATCCCAACCACCGCTGCGTAGGGCCTGTACATCCCAGTTGTAGCCTTCTTGTTTCACAGAGAGCTTGTAATGCAGTCCGCTGACTATGAACAGTCTTGGTATTCACATGCAAAACTGCTTTTGTTTAACTCATTATCATGTATATATATATTTCTAGTCAAAACTTTTACAGATGCTTTTGCTTCTTTCAGCAATTCTTCTGAAGGTGTGAACCTTGTTGCGGGTAAGTAGCTTTATATATTTACCAAGTGGAAACAAAATTAGTCACATGGGTTGCTGCCACCTTTGGATTGTTTATGTTCTAGGTTGTATTCATAGATTACAGATATCAATATGATAATACCTCATTTAGAGGAAAAAAATACTGTAGGAAATGCATAGCAGAAGTATTTATACTTAAATGAACTGAAACTTTATCAGTGTTTCAAAAATTCTTCTTTATTATTTAATTACAAATCCAGTTTTGTTATCCCAGGTGATGGTTGTGATATGCTTAACCCTGAGAGTAAGTCCAGAATTAAATACAGCTTCAACCAGAATTTCCCTTTCCTGTGCACCTTTTTTAAAGCACGAATTCAAATATAAGCCAGTCATTTTTACTGCAAAATTTTGAAGACTTTCAAATCCCAAAGACTGAAACCGAACATTATGTGCAACTTTTTACACAAGATTTCAAAGCCTATGAAGAGAGACAGAATCAGTCAATACCAGAAAGCTTCAAGAAAAAAATAATTTATGGCATTCAAGCCCACAGAAATTAACAATGTTAAATGGGAAGTGATACTGTGTTGATATTCAAATCCATTTGCTTAGACACACCATTGTTAAAAAGAAAAATCTTTTCAGTGCAAACGAAAAATGAATAAATGTCTAGTTAGAGAAATTAAAGCTTGTTCAGTCATTACTTCAGTTATTAAAGGTGATATTACAGATTATTGCAACTCAGGAATAAGTTGGAGAAAATTTGGAAAAGTAGGTAAGTAGTGTTGTTACATTTGTAGGTTGCTTGCACAGTAATCCATTTTACCGCTGACGATAAATGATCAGAATTGCAGCAGAGGGCAAGGCCATGTAACTGTTGTGGGTGTTGGGGCTGTTGCTGGGAGCTGAATGTGACAATCACCACTTTGTACAGCAGCACTGTTAATGCAGTGTTCTTGCACGTGGCCACCTCCTGAGGTGTCTCCAGTCAGGCAGCAGAACTGAACAAGTTCTGTTATTCCCAGGGCCTGTTTGCTCACAGCTGGCTCAGGCAACACCATATTTTTTAATTTTTTTTTTTTAAATAAACATGCTTAGTTAAAATATAGAGGTTTGTCCTTCTGTCAATTTATCTGGCAATTTGAGAATTATGTTTACTGAATGCAGTTTACACTTTCAAAGTCGGTAATGACAAATGTTCAATGTATTTACACAGTTAAAGATGATGACAAGCAACTTCTGAACATAGAGCCAATACCTGCAGAGCAATTGCTGGACATGTATAAGAGGAAGATTGCTGATGAAGGAAGACTTTTCTTGGATGAATTTCAGGTTTGTCATTGGTTCAAAATATACCACAGATTTGTAGCCAGGTAGTTGGAAGAATTCTGTTCAAGAGCACATTTGAAGTACATGCACTGGTTATAAATAAATAAAAAGAAGAATCTAGAAAATTGAGTGAATTCTCATCTAAGGTCAAATAGGCTTCAGTTAATTTTGCTACCAAGCTCTCCTCGTTATAAGATAATGGTACTTTTTTCCCCACCTCCTTTTCAGCAAAAGTATAAAATACACAGTCTAAATATTTCTCATTCTAAAGTACCTTTTAATGCATATTTTTAATACTCTCTTTCACTGCATAGCTATGGGCATATAAAAAACATATCATTGTGGATATGTATGTTATTTATATTAAGGGAAAATAAGTATGTTTGTTTAAGAAATGTGTGAAGTGGTATCGTATGAAAAAGAATGTTATCTTCCAGGCTCAGTAGTACCAAATTTCTTCCACATGCATTTGACTATAAATAGAAGCTATTTTAAACATGTGCTTACCTAATAAAAGATATATTGCATTTTACAGAGTATTCCTAGAGTTTTCACTAAATTTTCAATAAAGGAGGCCAAAAAAAGCCATAATCAGAACAAAAACCGTTACATTGATATCCTTCCATGTGAGTATTTGTTACAATTTCTGCACGTTTTATAAATATTTGTTTTCTTAGTGCCTTAAGATAATATAATTATTTTGTTTTAAATGATTTAAACAGATGATCATAACCGTGTTGAGCTCTCAGAGATCCCAGGAGACCCAGGATCAGACTATATCAATGCAAGTTATATTGATGTGAGTGACTTTTACTTAAAAAAAGTCTCAGGCACTATTGAAGAAACTCTGTAGTCTGTACATTTCATGTATCAAGCACCTTTGAGGATTTCCATTTGAGTTCTTTCCATAGCTGTAATATATTAGGTATTACTTGACCGTTGCATATTGAATTTATTTTTGAAGTTGAAAATCTTTTAAATTGTTCATGCTTTGTTTCTAAAAGTGGGTAACAATGTACTTTTTATAGGGCTTCAAAGAACCAAGAAAATACATTGCTGCACAAGGTAATTTTTACCCCCAAAACAATATGCTTTCTTTATTCACCCATTTTTTGTTAGAGAGTAGTAAAAAAGTATTACTAAATTTAAAGAAAAATTGAAAATCTGACATTTTGAAATTTAATATGAAAAATTTGCCAATGAGTTTTTGCTTAGGGAATTTTGTGAAGATGAATAAATTGTACTTCAAAGGCAGATTTCTCATGATGCATAATTTTACACCAAAATTTTTCAGATTTCATAGCTATGAACTAATGATATATATGAGGCTTTTAAAATGCTATAGCCTAATGGCAGAAGTCATGATGAAATCAAACATGTGGCTGCCATTTGTGTGATCTCTGGCTAGCTTTTCAGACTTGCATGGCTGAGCATGTCAAGAAAGCAAGCAGTTTTTTTCACGCAGTTGCACTCTTTGAAAAACTCCCGTAAAATATCTCATGCTAGGCCCCAAGGATGAAACCACAGATGATTTCTGGAGAATGATCTGGGAACAGAAGGCAACAATCATTGTCATGGTGACTCGCTGTGAAGAAGGAAAAAGGGTGAGAAATATCCATCCACCCACCCGTCCATCCACCCACCCGTCCGTCCATCCATCCATCCATCCATCTTTCTTTTGTCTGAAAACAGAAAGGGTTGCTGTGCTGTGGTGGATTACATTTTCTTCTTAGTACTTCATTTTCATTCTTTGCTGTCCTCTCATTGTGGCAGAACCTATGCTGGAAAGCATGCCAAAACAGTCTTGCCTTATGGAATTACCAGTCTTACCAGAAAATGTCACTTTAGTCACAGCTGTAAATAGCAGAGGGTGAACTTCCAAATTACAGCTAAGAAATTCAGAAAAGGGCTCAGGGTAGAACTCTAGCTCCTCACAGACCTGTCATAAAAGGTATGGTTTGTATTTTTCTCCTGTCTATTATCTTCTGATATCCTGGCAATACCCTCAGTAAATCCTAGAAAGAATATATTTTTCATCCTTTGTCTTTGCCCTTCCTTTAACTGGAAGGTTGGATGTTTCTGGCTTGCTTTTGTTCCTTATTCCAGGCACAGCTGGAAGAAGAGGAACTGCTGTTTTAACTGCTTTTAAAGATGAAAAGGTTGGCAGCATGCAGATTTACAGCATCCCCAGGTTGATGTTACAGGCAGACAGGAGAAATGTCCCTCACTGAAGACTGAAAAAGAAGCCATAGAAGTACCTGCAAATTTTACATAGCCTTCAGGCTGTTCACTTTTTCAAATAGCATACAGGATTTTTTCCCCACTTTATGTTCCAAGTTAAATTCCATGGGCATAAACTTCAGGTCAGAGACCTGAACTGTTGGATATTTAGAATTGTTTAGCACTGACATCCTAAGCAGTGACAGCCTTTTCAGGAGAGGACAAGACCTGTGAGAAGCTGGAAAAACTATACTGAGTCGCCAGCTATTTTGAATCAGACTTTCTTCTAGCTCTCAGGTCTCTGCCACTTTGCTATCATGTTGCTCACTTAACTTCATATCTTCATAGAACAAATGTGCCCAGTACTGGCCATCAATGGAGAATGGCTCTGCAACATATGGGGACATCATTGTGAAGATCAATGAAAGTAAGACGTGTCCAGACTATGTCATTCAGAAACTACACATCACAAAAGTAAGTTGATTCAAAAGTGTAAGACTGACTGGAATTGGAGTGTCTATTTGGAGTCTTAGGTATTGTTGAGATATCCTTTTAAGAGGAAAACAGTCAGTTATCAATAGAAGATGCTCTGCTGTTTTTCCCTAAGCAACGTATAGTTTAAGAGAAAACTTCTTAGATGTTGGTGTCATTCCTTAAAAGAAATATGAGTTAAACTTATATTTCCCAACTTAAAAATCTGTTTTCCTTAGTACTCTGGAATCTACATTTAAAAGGAAACTTAATATGCTGTTAAGTATGGAAAACACTGTGGTTTCCTTAGATATTTAGCTTGTTCTTTAACACAGAGATTTTACTGGTTTATGTGCATCTCAGCATAACCTTTTGCAAGTAAAATCAGTGTGACTCATAGAGCACCATTATCTACCCTCGTGATAATTGTACAGTGGGACAATTACGTATTCTGGTAATCTCAAGTGCATTTGTAAACATAACTAAGTGTTTTAAAATTACCATTTGACTATGTGTAGAATCGTTAAGGCTGGTTAATTGCTTTCTTTTATACATCTGAAATCACATTAGTTGCTCTGTGCGTAATTGAGAACAAAATTTGCCATCTAAGGTTAAATGCTCCTCTCAGGCCCTTTGTGAAAATATTTCAGTGAGGGTAAACGGAGCGTAAATCATACCTGAAAGCATTAAGACTCAAAGAGTAAATCTGCTGACAGATCATCAGCAAAATAGTCAAGCAATAGACTCCACCCACCTTGATCCATGATTACAGCTGGAAATTCCTATTTCTCATGTTGCGTTAAAATTTACTCAGGAAGTGGTCTGATGAAAAGAAAGTTGTAACAGTGTGAAGACAGTGAGAATATCAGGATGTTAAGAATTAACTGTTAACAAAGACATTGCTCTGTGACTAGAACAGTCTGACACTAGAAATGAGAGATTGATGCAGGTTGAGGATTATTTTAGAGCTGTCTGCTCTCTGTTCAGCTGACATCATATTAATATAGGTGGAACTGATATTGGTTGTGGAATTTAAGGGCGGTCCCTGACAAGAAAGTGGAGACTTCTGCAGTTCTGGTGGAATAGGAAGAATGCCATTGAGATGTCTTTCTCATTTTGTTTTATAATCATGGTTATCAAAATGTATGTCCTCTCTTTGACTTACATATGAAAGTAAGACTCAAGACTTTAAGGTTTTAATCAAGTGACTTAAAAGAGTTGGTCTCATTGAAAATTATAGGTTTTCTTTTGTCTGCTTCTAAATGGTAGAAGTCTGTGTTACAGCTTATTTATTTATTTATTTATTTAAAATCTGTTGTGCCCTCAGCAGGCTACTTCTAGGAGATATAAGAAAATTAACAACCTGTACCCCTTGAAGTAAGCAGAGCTATACACTAGCCCAGTTGTTTATGAATAGAGTGGGGAGACATATTATACTCTGGATCATAGGCTCACCTGAGAAAAGAAGTATTTTTAGCAACACTTCAAACCTCCTGCTTGTCCTCTGTTGGAGTCATTGTGTATTCCTGACTCATGGATATTTTTAAATTAAAAATTAATACGAAAAATGTCATAACCTGAGAGACCATTGGGATTACAACATTACAGCACACTGTTTGAAATTTCTGTTTCAACATTTGATGACCGTTGCCCTTATTTTTCTTCTGCTTTGTATATGTGCACCTGATTTTGGCTTTGTGTGTGTCTGTGTATACATATATATAAACCCCCACACTTCATTTTGTCTAGGGAAGAGAAAGGACAGCTGGAAGAGATGTCACTCATATTCAGTTCACAAGCTGGCCAGACCACGGAGTCCCTGAGGATCCACATCTCCTTCTCAAACTCCGACGCAGAGTTAATGCTCTCAGCAACTTTTTTAGTGGTCCAATAGTTGTTCATTGCAGGTAAATATATATTATTTTTAAAAAATTATATTAATGTTAAGTGAACATGAAGTGAAGCTATTCAGAAAAGGTAGCTGGCAAAGGTATTTGGCTGATCCCAAATTTTGTGACTTGATTACTTGAGAGTGAGGCAGCCAAAGATGCATAAAAAGGCCTGTTTTCTGGAGGATATTCAGGTCAAAAATATGTGTATCTGAGGATACACAGACTTTTGAACTTTTGGAAAGCAGACTGATAAATGTCAGGCTACTCTGGCTATAAGCAACACGTCTGGCAATTTTGGCCTTACTTTCATTAAAAGATATTTAAAATACAAACTCATCATTGTTTGTGTTGCCAATTAATTTACAGCAAGAACTGTTTTCAGTTGCTTCATATTCCTTTGTTACACATTTTCACTTTCACTCTCTCACTGACTGCTCCCCTCTCAGAATGGAACTAGGAGATGCCGTTCCCGCTCGATAACCAAGCCCCTTTGTGCTTTGCAGTGCAGGTGTTGGGCGCACTGGGACATACATAGGAATTGATGCCATGCTGGAGGGGCTGGATGCAGAAGGCAGAGTGGATGTTTATGGCTATGTTGTGAAGCTGCGTCGGCAGCGGTGCCTCATGGTTCAAGTAGAGGTATCTCGCTGAAACTCCTGCCACTTACAACTCGCCTTTGCTAGATCTTCATCAGTATTTCTCAGAAGCGCGCTGCTTAGTCTTGAGTACCACTACAATTCAGTTGAAGTTGTTCATAGAAAATATAGCTCTGAAAAATATTGAGAGAGAGAAAAACTTCCAACACAGCTTTTCACTTTTAGAAACTTCAACTTTTTAAGTTTAGGCTTAAAAAAAAAGAAGCCAAGAAGAAAATTTTAGATTTGATAACCCAGCTTTTGGCATACAATTCACAAATGCAAAATTGAGCTTGTATAGTCAAACCTAATTTTCAAATTCTAAAAACTTTCTGTCTAGGTGGGATTTTCGGTTGAGTCGAGAGTACAACAAAAGTTACAGACTGATACAATGCATGTTTTTAACTTATCTAAGAGTTTTGCAGATCTTTCAAATCTCAGTTGCATATTTCTTGAATGACATTACATTTATTTGCAGAACACTTTTCATCCAACACACTAAATGTGCTCCAAAGTGTCTAATTGGGAAGCCAGTCTGTTTTTTAATACTTGTATTTAATGCCTATTTAATATTAATGCTTAACATTATTAACACTAATAACATCATGGGAGTAATAATTTCTTACAATGGTTTTAAAAAGTGATTTTTTTCCTCTTTAATAACTTCATTTTTAAACCCTTCAAATGGGAAACACCAGTCACAGTACATCCTTATCCATCAAGCGCTAGTGGAATACAATCAGTATGGAGAAACAGAGGTCAGTCTCTCAGAACTGCATTCCTATCTTAACAATCTGAAAAGAAAAGATTCTCCGAGTGATCCTTCTCTACTGGAGGCAGAGTTTCAGGTAAATAAGCATTGCATTCTAGGGCCCTTACCTTCAACTTACATTAGAAAGTGCCTTGCACAATAGTCATGAGATAGAGATGCCACACATAATAGATCACTTCTGTGCTTTTTTATTTCCCTGGCACAGAAATAGTTTCTTTACAAAAGATGTAAAGTAATGAAATTTTATTCCTGCTTTTGATGTTAATATTTTTAACAAAGATGGGGAGCATAGAACGATTACTTGTGTCTATGTGCATGATTTCCTGTGCCATTGTACATGGGGTAGCAGGCATTCTTAAACTATAGTCTAGATGTGACCAAAGTTTAAAGAATTAAAGTAAGAAGTGAGGCACTGGGAGGTGAAGACTGGGTGTGGGTGTCCAGAGGGGACAAGGACCCCAGGAATCATTTCAATCAAGCATAATACCAAACATTCTTTCTTTAGAGATTACCTTCCTATAAGGGGTGGCGGACACAGAACACTGGGAATCGTGAGGAAAATAAAAGCAAAAATAGGAATGCCAACATAATTCCATGTAAGTTTTGCATGAACCTTCCATTATTTCATCTGTTATCTTCTGTAAGAAAACCTACTAAATTTTGAAAAAATGGGGATGGTAAATTACCTTACTGAGATGTATTTGATTCATTAATTTTATCAATGCTATAAAGTCAGAAACTTCTCACAGTGTTTTAAAAAAGAAGAGATGAGTTTTTAAAAATGTGAATTATTGGGAGTGTTTAAGGTTATTTCAAATAGAGAGGCCTTTGTTCTGCAGTCTGTTGTGAAAGGACTAGCCTTTTTCCTATCTGTTTTCCCCCCTGCACGTGTGGGGACAGCCCCCCTCTAATGCTATGCCTTAGCAGCAGTGTGGCATGACGGCGACATTTTGTCTCATGCAGATGACTTTAACCGAGTGCTGATCAGGCACGAAGACGAATGCAATAAGGAGGGTGAACACGATTCAGACGATTCCTCAGATGAGGACAGTGACTGTGAGGAATCAAGCAAATATATCAATGCTTCCTTCATAACTGTATGTATTTAGAGGATCCACTATAAGCATTTATTTCACAAGCTTTCAGCTAAAACTGTATTCTAGCTTGAACTCTTACTCTCTTAGTGGCTTCACAAATAGAATAGGATTTACCTGAATAAGGGAGAAAGATTTGACAGTCAATTGGCAAATCCATTTATAATTTTAATAATCAAAATCATCTACATTTTGCTGCAGTAATGAGTCTTTTGCCCTTACATGGTCTTAGACTGTGCAATCTCAAATAGTGAGACTAAATATAGAAACACTTTTTTTTTTTTTTTTTGTGCATGAGTATGTGTGTTATGTTTAAAACCACTAGCTTTCAGACTGGCCTTATGATAACATATATCTCTGTTAGTGGGCATCTGCCTATGTACACGTTGATCCATATTAATATTTTCCCTGTTAGCGAAATGTGAGAATAGTTATTCACATATACAAAACCCTACTAGTGAAAACTGGGGCCAGCAGTTCTTTGGAGGTATCATATGTACCTCCAAAAGAAGGAGAGCAGTTACTGGTCTCTAATGAAGTAGCTGATTGTAATGGGATAACTAGCTAAATTCAATTTATCTGAATCCTTTAAAACACTGCACAGTTAGGTTGTCTGTTCAGAGTAAATGTATTTTTACTTTTGGGTAGCTCAGTGTGAACCAACTGGTGCATCAACTTTGTGTGGTATAAACTCAGTTTCTCGGTGGTCAAATTAAACAGCTGTGTAGAATTAAATGTCTTACCCCTTAAGAATATATTTTGCAGAAGATGGCAGGGTTAGGTCTCACCCACTGCAGCATGAGTATACCTTGTTGTCCATCTGGGAATGATACTGTTGTTAAGAGGATTAAGTTTAATGCCATTTGGCTCATAGAATTCCTGTAAGACCATAGTCTACTGTGATAGGCATATTTTCCCTATGAACAAATGGGTTCATTAGTTTATTTCACTGTGTATTCTTTAAATGACAATGAGTTCTGTTGCTTGGCAATCACATTTCAAATGAATTTAAGAAAAAAAGTATTAAAAATTTCTTTTATAGGGTTACTGGGGTCCGAAAGCCATGATTGCAACACAGGGACCACTGCAGGAAACGATCTCTGACTTCTGGCAAATGGTCTTCCAAAGAAAAGTCAAAGTCATTGTTATGCTGACAAAGCTGAGTGAAGAAGATCAGGTGAGGGCATAATCTTCACACTGACATGTTAAGGGTCCTCTATATGCAAAGAAAACACTGCACTGCGCTCTCTCATTCCCTTCCTCCAGTTAAACATGTTTCATAGGATGAAGAATTTGGATTTCCAATATAATTTGTTCTATTATTTGCCTTCTTAATTCACTTTGCAATTAATTTTTGAGGGGAAGAGTGTATGATGCTATATTTTAAAATACAATGATACTCCTACCACTTTAAAGTTAATACATTCTGTAAGTGCATGTGGGAGATAAAATAAAAGGAGGTTTGAATGGTAAGCACTGACTTGTACTTCTATCCATTTTAGGACATCTGTGCGCAGTACTGGGGAGAAGAAAAACAAACGTATGATGGCATAGAGGTTCAAATGACAGATGCCAACTGTTGTCATACCTATACCATACGTGCATTTGATGTTACACATCTGAAGGTAATAGTTCTAAATTTGTTTCCTTGTTATAAACTTAGCCTAAATAAAGAGAAGAGACAGTTCCCACTGCACTTACCTCCTTCTTGAAGAAATGGAAATATTTTTCTCTCTCAGAACAGCAGCCAATCATGATAAATGCTATAAATTGTCTCAAATTTCCCAATTAATGAATTGCTGAGATGGTGGTAGAGGACTCTCAGGAGGTCAGCTATCTTTTGTACTTTGAGCAAAGCTTGGATATCTACCTACCTCATATTCATGGCATAGAACTCATACCACCATGCAGTTCCTCAGGAATATAATTTTTATTTTGTAAATCAGCTGCAATAGATGTACTACGTGAATCTTTATTTTAACTTGAACATTGACTGCATCTCGACTGCTGTTTTTCAGACGAAAGAAACACAGAAGGTGTATCAGTATCAGTACCACAAGTGGAGTGGCTTGGATGTTCCAGAAAACCCCAAGGATTTAGTCAGCATGATTCTCAACCTTAAACAAAAAGTCCCAGCTAGACCAGCCACTGAAGACAGCAAGAGTACCCGCAGTGTCCCGCTCGTTGTCCACTGCCGGTGGGTCTGAATTCAGCACATACCTTAACGTAGCTCTAAGTTCTGGATATACATAGCAACCACAGTTTTGGGATGCCTACCTTTTTCCACAGGCCTTTTTGTGTGTCTGAAGACTCAGCTCTCCCTAGAAGATTCCTTGAATTGCTCAAGCTTGACCTTTTTGATTGTAGTGCTGAAAGTGAGCACACTTCTCTTCGGCAGGTGTGGGCCTGTAGTAGGTGGTTAAAGCTACCTGCTCCTGCCTGGTACACATATTTTGAGATGAAATGCTAGGTCAGAGGGTGCGCTTGTAGCATACTACCAATGAGGATCCAGCAGAGCTTTTAGGTTTATTTCTCGCAACCCAGTACATAAGCCCACTTTTTTAAGGACCATTGCCAGGAATAGCCTTGCATACGATCTAAAACAGAGGATAATCCTGCTAACAATTGTTGAGACTGTAAATCTGAAGCTTCTAATTTCTCTCTTAATCCTTAAGTGGCCACATGAGATCCAGGTAGCCTCTAGATAACTATGTCTTCTCTGTGTCCTACATATATTCTTAATTGTAACAACTTCAGTCCAGTAAAAAATGTTTTGGAAATGTAATTAATTACACAGACTTTGAAATAAAACTAACATTTAGTCAGAGGACTTCCTGATTTTACATTTTGCTTTATCTTCCAGTGATGGATCACAGCAGACCGGTGTATTTTGTGCTTTAATGACCCTCTTGGAAAGTGCAGAAATAGAAGAAGTAATAGATGTTTTCCAAGTAGTAAAAGCTCTTCGTCGCACCAGGCTGGGAGTGGTCTCCACCTTTGTAAGTAAATCTTATGAATTACCAGAAAAAATTATAAGATTACTTATCATGGCCACTAATATCCTCATAACCTTACGCATCATTTCCACATAGGGAATACTGGTTCTAATCAGGACATTCACAGCCACTCACCACTGCTTGGGAATTGGCCATTACTGATAAGAATGAAGGAGTCTTTGGAGATGTCCAGAGCTGCGATTCTGTAACACTTTTGTGGAAGGGTGTATATTATAAAATTACCAATTGCATACACTGATGTATCTGCAGTTGCTTCAGGGATGTACGTGCACAGTGTCCCTTAACTTCTGCAGAGTTGGGAGGCTAAATCCATTCCACAGGCTAGCAGCCATGAACTTGTTTTGTTTAAATCACTCCAGAGGAATTGTGTCCCTGTGGCATAGACTGTGCATTTACTAACAAACCAGCCCTAGGTGTCATAGATATGGGGCAGGTTATTAGATGACTTTCCTAGACTCCTTACAATACGTGTTGTTTACAGCCTAGGTACTCCAAAACCCATCTTTTTGGGACTTTATGAACCAAGAGGGTACTGAGTGACTCGGAATGTCTGATGCAGGCAGTTACAGAGACATTACATACACATGAAGTCAGAATAAACCATACAAGCAATACTCTGTATGCCCAAAACTGTTGGAAGCTGTTTCATACGCAGTCTTGCTTGTTCAACTACATGGTACATTTCTAAAGTTTAAGAAAACAGAGAAAGAATGGGTTAATTCTTGGGCTCTGAGCATTCCATTCATATTATTTTCTCTTTATATTTAAGGAACAATACCAATTTCTGTATGACACCATTGCCAGCATCTACCCTGCACAGAATGGACAAATAAAGAAGAACAGCCATCAGGAAGATAAAGTTGAATTTTGCAGTGAAGTAGAAAAAACAGATCAGGAAGCTGATTTGATCACTATTGATCTTGCCCCACCACCGCCAGAGGAAAATGAGCTTTCTGAAGCATGTGATGGTTCTAAGGCTGCAGATAGCACTAAGGGAACAGAAAGCTCTACAAACGGCCCCACAACTCCAGTCCTAAATTAGAAGCTCTTCTAAAGAAAAAAAAAAAGAAGTGCTTTTTCATGAGCAAAATATCTTAAAATAAGAATTAGAAGATTTCTTCCTCTTCCCACCTTTTTCTTTTCTGGAAAACATTTATTGTTATATCAGGTTTTCAAAGGTACAAATTTAAAGGAATACTTGAAACTTGTAGAGAGTGACAAAGAACTGTGAAAGTTTAATTTTTGTGTAGATTTACATTTAATACTTCTTTAGAAACCTCTAAACTATTTTTATACTTTGTCTTTTAAAAATATGTACAGTGTAATACTATGCTGAGCAGTGGGAAGGAATTTTTTTCACCTCTGACAAGGAGAAAAGCAACTCAGAAGAAGAAGATTAGTGCGTTGCAAAACCAGGTCTGTCTTCAAAACTATTAGCAAGTAAATTAACCTAACTGGTAAGCATATATTCTAGCATTTCAGGAGTGCTGAACAAGCACTGCTTTAATAATACCCCGTGGAACTTTGGAATTTTTAAGAATTTATCATTTACATCATGTGGCAATTCCAAGGAATTCAGATGTACAGAGAATCTCTTAAGTCAATGTATCAGTGTGGAATAGACATTTTTGCATTTTTCTGACTTGCCGCAAGGTGTCCTCATTGCCCCACATATATTGATCTGAATTTCACTGTTAGACTCAAAGAAGAGCTTGGAGATCGGCATTTGAATGATTGCAGTGATTTTGATAGAAAACACAGTCTGTTTCCTCTTAGAGCTTAAAATACTGCAAGCTTGCACGTCTATTTCTTATGCTTACTGTTATTTAAAAGGACTGCTTTCACAAATGCATCTGACTCGTTTTCGGAATTGGAAAATACTTAGATGCTTTCCCTCCAAACCTTGTAGATTTTAACTGGTACAGGATTTCTTTTTTTTCCCATTATAAGGATCTGTATGTTATAGTTGTGCTATTTTTACTGTTGCTTACTGGATTTTCGCCTACTGATTTTAGAACAAATAAAGAAGATACTTAATAGTTGGCAAGGTGGAAATTATTTTGCTCTATTGGACTCTGCAAACTGATTATTTTCTTCTAAATGCACAAAATCTTGTGCTATCCCACACATGGATAAAATTTACAAATTTCAGTAGGAAAACACACCATTTAATTCCTATAAAACTGTGTGAGCCCAGGTAAGTGTCATGATTCTCTCACTACAGAGGAAGGAAACTTCATTTTTCTTTTGCTTGAAGTCATTAAAGGAACAGTTACTCAGTGGGTTCAGTGCTCCTAGTTTATCAGTCCATATTCCTAATCTCTATTCACAAAACATAATTGAAAATACTTAGCCATGTAGACAACATGTACAGTCACACTTGATTAAATCATTAATTTAATTTTGCTGTTACTCTAGATAGAATATTTCATTCACAGTTATCAACTCAGACAAGTGCTTCCCAGCAGTCTCGCTTGAATAAGTAGCAGCAAACCATCACAGAGGCAGTGGGATTTCCCCCTGATTGTCAGCTGAGCTGCCTTTTCATCTGGACTTCTGTTAGGTGATAAACTAACACAGCTGGGGGGTTCACCTGTGGAGAAAAAAAGCTCTTGAGACTACATGTGAAGATAATCTAAGAGAAAATTGTAGGCCCCAAAACCTGTTGGCTGCTTTTAGAGGAATGTGTCAAAATTGCAAATTTAGCATACGTTTGAAGATCAAAAGGATAAAGAGCCCTGGATGCAGATTGACTCCCTGGTGTCCACTGGTTAACAGAGAAATATTAATTTTTTTTTCTTTTTCTGGCCACTGTAAAGCCTCTCTAGCTCATTCGGGTAGTAGAATGAAGAGGCCAGTGCAGCTACCTATTGTAACAGTGTGGAGACAGAGACTGGCCACACTTTGAGGAATAACTGAAAATGTTTCCCATATCAAAAATTAGGCCTAAATTTTCATTTTGTGTAAATCTGAGGGCACTCATACCCTTAAATTCCTTGAAAAAAAAAATTCTTCTGCATCTTTTTAAGCTCCTGCAGCACCTGGGCTGTAAAAATTCTGGAGGATTTTGTTTTGCTTGAATTGTTTTCTAGAATGATTTCAGTGGTTTTCTGACTGCATATTAAAAAAAATGCATGCCAGGTTAACACTTTATTTGTGCATGTATTTTGAAAGAAAATATTGAATTTTGCCTCACGCATATCTTCATTATTAGCCTAATCAGAGAAACAGAGCCTTACATTAGAACTGCCCTCACGTGCCTCGGGTAAACCACTTTTGGAGTAAAGTTCCCTATAGTCACAAGGGGATAAACTGAGCTCTTGGCTTTTAATTATTTTCAAATTAAATAACACTTTGTACAATTACTTCTCATTAAATCCCAGTGTGACAACTGAGGGAGCCTGTCTTAAAACAGCTGAGAGGTTCCGATTGCTTCTGGGAACTCTCTATGTATGAACCAGGGATGTTTTTTTGCCTTCTCTATTGTCATCTGAATTTCAAAAATCCACGAGGTGGTGACACAGAGCTTGTAGGAGGAGGTTGTTGTGATGGATGCCCCATAGTCGCCTATCACAGGTGAGCCATGAAGCCCAAGCTAATAAGCTCTGCTAGGAAACTGCTCTGGCTTTGTCAGGGCAAGACAACACTGTAGCAGGCTGGAGACTTGGCATAGCCTAAAAGCTGAGAAACAAACATAAAATGCAAAGTAAGATGCAAAATTATTATTTTGTCAAGTAGAGGTAAGCTGCGCAAAGACTGCTAACCACTGCCTCAAGCCGTTATTCAAAATGTTTTGTAATCTGAAGTCCAGGATAAAAATAACTAAGCAACAGATCAGCTGGGAGAGGATTTTGAGCAACGAGTGAAGGTAATCCAGGGCTTATGTGACCAAAGGGACTGGATTTCTACCACAGTTTGCTGGGTAGAAGCTGATAGAAAGGTGGGTATGGAGAAGTGATAGTGCTGTGTTATTGGAGTCTGGTGTGGGAAGAGGAGGGGGAGGCGAAGGATCCCGGAGTCTCCACAGGATTCTGCTTGGTCAGGTACCTGCAGAGGGGAATGAACTGTGTGCTTGCTATATTTTTCTTGTGCTCTGTAATGAACAAAGTAGTTACATGAAAATCTTTTTTTTTTTCAGAGACTGTACATTATGAGTATCAGCCACATTGTGATTCTTGAGCTAAATGTTATACAACACAAAAACCAGCCAGTGCATTGAGCCTGGGGGTCAGGGATGCCGTTCAAGGAGATGACAAAAGCCCCATCACCTTCCCGCCCCCCAGCTTTCACTGCTGTGTTCGGGCTCTTGCGGGGTATGTTTGTGCCTGTTCCTTTTCCCACCCATACATGCAGCTGGTGTTCGTGAACTCAGCCTCTCCACTTCTGAGCCAGCTGATGCCGTCAGAGCAGTGAGCTCACTCCTGGCTGGGGAGGGGGTCACTTTCTTCCCCTTGCTCTAAACTGATCTGCTGGGAAGGAGCAGGAGCCCGAGGGGCTCAACCAGGCGGGGAGGGGGCCCCCCTGCCCCCGGCCCCCCACTGTTAGGACATCACCAGGGGGGGTGGGGAGTTTGCTGGAGGAGTGAAGAAAGCAGTGGGTTTCAAGCTTTGCTGCAAAACAGGAAACCAAAGTAAAATCTTGTATGAGAGGCAGCAAGTAGAGCTGGATAGCGAGACCGTGACACATGGCAGCGTTGGAGCTAGGAGCTACAAAGGCAAGTAAAATGCTAACATCATGAGCCGTTTGGTTGTGTGAGATGGCAAAGAAAATAAGAAAGAAAAGTGGCTCAAGACAGGTGTCTCATTAAGCTGGAAATTATATCCTTTATTTAACATTGACACGGTCCCCCACAACATCCTTCTCTCTAAATTGGAGAGCTATGGATTTGATGGGTGGACTGTTCGGTGGATAAGGAACTGGCTGGATGGTCGCGTCCAGAGGGTAGTGGTCAATGGCTCGATGTCCGGATGGAGACCGGTGACGAGTGGTGTCCCTCAGGGGTCCGTACTGGGACCGGTGCTCTTTAACATTTTCATCAATGACTTAGACAGCGAGATCGAGTGCACCCTCAGCAAGTTTGCGGATGACACCAAGCTGAGTGGTGAGGTTGACACACCAGAAGGAAGGGATGTCATCCAAAGAGACCTGGACAGGCTGGAGAGGTGGGCCTGTGTGAACCTCATGAGGTTCAACAAGG